AATCTAGGATAACATTTTGGAGGATCTGGAAAATGCCATTCCTTCACCAGATCATATACTCTTCTGGGATTTTACATACTTAGTACTTTTTAGTGGTTTTTTCCCCCCCCCTACCTATTTCCAATCCTTATTCAGTTCCTGCTGTGTAATCTAACTTGTTTATAGATGAACTGTAGTTTTTGACATTGTGCACATGGAAAGCAAACTTGAGAAAAGAAAAAGAGATCCATATAACCTCTGTTTATTGTAAAACAATGATATATAGAAGGCATTGATTAGGCAATTGTTTATACATGAAGTCTCTTCAATATAAAGGGACTGCATATTGCATTCCTTAAGATGTACACATTTAACATGATAAAAAAGCCTACTAAGAAAAAGAGAGATAATTTTATGGCACATTCATTCCAGTCATTCTTTAAACCTGCTGGCGCTCTCCAGATTGGGTGAGCCTACAGCCAGAAAGCTATTTAGCTGGGAATTTTAGAAGCTGCAGCTCTAGAAGACATCGGTGAGAAAGGCTGCTATAAGCCCAAAATATATCATGCAATTCAAATGTAACAAGGTCAGCTTTTCATGATGTAAAGATTATACTTCATCCATAAAAATATTGTTTTAATGTTAAGTCATAAAGAAAAAGTAAAATATTCATCAGGTAGCCCTGAGGTGACTCTTCAAATTTACAACCATGCAGCCAATACACTTCTCTTTACTGTGGACTACATATCACTGATATTTTCTGTAACATTCCAAGATATTAAGCTCTGATTCAAAGCACCTCTTTTAATGTGTTAGGTTTACATACGTATCTGAAAAGATTGTTTATTCTATATTTGAGAGGACAAATAAACGTGTGCACCGCACACCTCTTTGGATTCAATTACAACAAAATATGGAGTGCATAATGTAGCACCTGTCTGCTGCTCTTTAAAGCAGCCTGTCTTTTCCTGGAACAGTACCACAGCTTGCAGCCAGATAATCCTGGAAAAGATGTAGCTGCTTTAAAGAACTGAACAGATGCTGTGTTGAGTATCCTGAATTTTCTTTTTTGGATTAAATCTGAAGCATTGCACAACCCTTGTGAAAATAATGCCCAATGAGTGAAAGTTAGGCTACGCAATAAAATTTTCCAAGCTAGAATACAGCCAAGCTCTGACAGCAGATGACTTCTGGATCCAAAGATGTGGATTTGAGTATTCCTTCTACCAGTTCTTTACCATCCATTTTACAAAAACAAATAAACAAACCCTCCAGTTCATAGTTACTATCTGCCATAGCTACTTACAATTCAAAGCTGTTTGGAATTATCAACTTGCCAAGGTATGATAAATGTTGGAGCAATAAAAAAAATAATGTATTTTTCCATGATTCTGAAAACCTGGTAGTTATTTAGAAACTGAAATAATCCAAGATTTAAAATCATTCTAGCTATACGGATAACTGCAATACCAAAAACTCTAGGCTTCAACAGCCTTTAATGTTGAACGTAGAACCAGCTCTGTAAATATCTCTTCAGTAATCAGGAGTCTTATCCTGAATCAATGAAAGCAACATAGGATGCAGAGACTCCTATTATTTGCAACAAAAGGCAGAAATTCCTTGCATTCTGCAATAAGATAATCCCAATGTGGTTATCTTCCTTCTTTCTTCAACATATTTTCTCAATGTTAAGAGAATCAGACTTCAATACTTGACCTGTCTTCAGACTTCTGAGAGCCTGAAACTGTCCAGAGAGCTAAAGGAGATTCCATCCATGTCGATTGTGATGTCAAGTTGCCATTAAACACATCATCTATTGAAACTGCAAGATAATATACATACATATGTAATATCTAAAAAAAAGTAAACTTCTCCCCCCTGACCAAATATATTGATCCAAACAATTCATAATTTCCAGACATTCCAGTTCGCTGGATGTTTAAAAACTGAAAAAGTGTGTAAACCTAGTGGTTTGTAAACTCCAGCTTATATCTTACCATATTGTAGAAACACGATCCATTGTGTCTTATTCAACAAACAACGTCTTACTGCAATGTGTGAACTTAATCACAGAATAAAGCTGTTCTACCTATGAAGAATGTAATATTTAAAATATAGTAGTTTATCAACTCACCTCTAGAGATAATGCTGAACTTCCTGTCTGAAAAGCTGTTTAAACGCAAATTTGGTTCACTCATTTTATCCAGAAATTTAGTTATAATTTCTTTCTTCTCTGGATTGGTACTTGACAAATTAAGAACTTTCCCATTCATTGAAACAGTGCTCTTACTGAACCCAAACCAATAAAAGAAATCAAATAAGGCATCAGTTTTGAACTCATAGGAGAAACTTAAACTTTCTTCATTAACCAGATAGGCTTCTGAAGGAAAAAACTTCTTTACAACATCTTGGAAGTTAAACTGTAAAGAGAAAAGAAAAATGGTTATTGATTGATTGATTGGCCTAATGCTCCAGGAATGGATGCAGCCCTTAAAAACTTGTTCCCCCCCCCCCCACACATACCACATCTTGGAGCTCCTTACAGCTACCATTTCTGAAAACTAACTTCATGGTTTCCTCCCATTTTGAACTAGGAAATGCATTAAAATTGTAACTCTACATTTAACATACAGTAACTTCTAAAAAACTATCATTCTGAACACTTAGAAAAGAGCTTTCAAAATTGTAGCCATATTTATCCATGATATACTCTCTCTCACTTCTCCAAAAACTTAAATGAATGCTCCAACACTGGAAGTTTTTAAGAAGAGACTGGACAGCCATTTGTCCGAAATGGTATAGGGTTTCCTGCCTGAGCAGGGAGCTGGACTAGATGATCTCTAAGGTCCTTTCCAACTTTATTATTATTATTATGAGACCACCGCAAATTGTTCAGCCATACAAACAAACAAACAGGTGATTAACATGGATGACAATAGTAGTATAAAATCCCAATGCCTTAAACAGTTAAGATTCAGCTAGCCTTTGTAGCTGTAGAAATGAAGATTAGCTGTTATATTTTGTTCCAGAATGGTAGATAAAACCTGATACCAGCAATATTAACAGGTGACTACTAATGCAATTCATCTGCATTTTTCAGCTTGAGATCTGATTTTAAACAACAGGCCTCATGGCTATTACAACATCTGAATTTATTCTTAGACTGTCCTGCTTCTTCCTCTTCTGCTCTGTACATGGTATTGCCAAATATTATATAGTCTTCCAGAATTTTGGGAGGGCTTAGCACACAGGTCGGCAACCTGCGGCTCTTTGAGCCTTCCCCTGTGGCTCCCAGCCTCCTCTGCCTTTGCAGAGAGAGACAGAGACAGAGAGAGGCAATTGCGCTTCCCTGCTTTTCTCTCTCTCTCTCTCTCTCTGTGTGTGTAAAAGAGAGTGCACTCACAGTGTTCTCCGAGGAGCTGAAAAGCTTACTGGGCGGAGCTCCTCCCTTTGCTGCGTCTCTGCAGGAAGCAGGAAGGGCAGGAGAGAGCTAGCTAGTCCAGCTAGGCTGACTCAGGAATTCTGGGAGTTGAAGTCCATGAGTCATAAAAGAGACGAGGTTGCCTACCCCTGAGCTTGTTGGAAACAGCTTGAAGCTTGCCAGGTGAGCAACAGATAGGAGGGGGGGGGGAGAAACAGAGAGAGAGAGAGGGAGGGGGAGAGAGAGAGAGAGAAGAGAGAGAGAGAGAGAGAAAGAAAGAGAGTGGGGGAAGAGGAGTGGCAGACCAAGGGCAGATAGAGAGAGAGGGAGGGAGAGAGACAGAGAGAGAGAGACCCTTTTGACATCTAAAATGAAGAAAACACTGCATATATCCTTTTTTACCTGTGTGTGTATGTAATTTTATTCTCTTAAAGCAGTGATTCTCAACCTGTGGGTCGGGACCCCATTTGGGGTCGAACGACCATTTCACGGGGGTCGCCAAACAAGGCTGTCCGCCATTTTTCCCCCCTTTTCTTTGGCCACGCCCCTGGCACCCAGTGATGTATAAGTAGTTGGGGGTCACAAAAACCACACTCACAAAAACCACACAGGATGTCACCACCACACATCCACGCAAAAAGCAAATATATATATATATATATATATATATATATATATATATATATATATATATATATATACATGCATATATATATACATGCATACATATATACATACATATATATATACATACATACATACACACACACACACACACAAACACACACACACCTATAATAAAGGTAAAAAAGGATATATGCAGTGTTATCTTCATTTTAGGTATCGAAAGGGTTTTGCGGCTCCCGGTGTTTTGTTTTTGGTGGGAAACGGGTCCAAGTGGCTCTTTGAGTGTTTTGGGTTGCCTACCCCTGGCTTAGCAGTATAGACGAGACAGTAGAATTAAGGTTGCTGGAAACATTGTAAAAATGCAATTTGTCTGTTACCATCATTTAAAATGGCCATCAGAAAGTACCATATAATAATGCCTGCTTGGGTATACAAAATGGGAAGGGGGGAAGTAAAGCACAATATCTCTACACAGACCATCAGAAATGTTGCCATCCACTAACTTTTATGCATTTAGCAACATACATGTAGACATGTTCTATCCCAAAGAATCCTAGAGCTTAATTAAAAGCTGTTTTTGGAGCACGTTTGAGCTCCAGCTCAGATTTTAATAACTGTTGGATAAGTAGGTCTGAGCTGCCACATAGCAAAATATTAGAAAACTTCAATCCACATTCACTTTTCACTGTCTTTGGGTAGATTTATGGCTGTATGAATAACCATCCAGGGTAAAGACTTTGCTTTTCTAATTTATCCAAAGAACAATGTCCGTTGCTCCTTAAAACTTATCCAAAATACTAACTTGAAGATAGCAAGCTTATATTAAACAAAAAATCTGCCCAACTCACCTGAAGTTTATAGCTTTCCCCAATCACAGATGAGATTACATTGTTCATGCTGTTCTCCATCTGCCTTCTCATCTTTGGGTGTCGAGTATTCACAAGCAAAGTATATGTTTTTTCTAAAGGGATTTAACATTGGTAATGTAGACAATAATAATAAACATTTGCAGATCTCAAATATTTTTCTTACTTATAAAATAATAGTTTTGCCCCTGTATTATTTTATAAAATATTTAAAATATTTTTTTGAACCTGTACATTCCTAAGAAGGCATTTTTATGGGGAACAAGTCAGCCTTCTTCAGACTTCCATATAGCTTTCTAAAATATTTTCTTATCTTGGTGTTGTTTAGAAACAATTTCATACAGTACAGGTAATTATGATGTTTGAATTCCCTCCTATTCAGTTATGTTGGCCCCAAGTCAGTTTAAGACATTTCAGTTCTCTAAAGCTTTTGTTTAACTGGACAACTGTGCATTTGAGCAGGATAGAAGTACCTTTGTTTTACAACTTTTCAAGAAATTTGTGGTTTTATATGTTTCATTTTAAGTGTTTCTGCTGAATTTCAGTAAAACCACTTTTAACAGATTCCTAGGGGGAGAGGATGTCCATTACTTTTAACTACATAATACATATGAAAGTCATTGTAATTTGTGTCATTAATGTAATAATGCCATAAGGTAAATGAAGCAAATCACATCATATATCTCAATTTATGACATTACATCTGGACTATTTAAATTAACCAATCTGTCTGATGAAAATTGGGTCTGTTGCATTGGAAATAAACTAAATAGGGCTTTCTAATAACACTACAATTATTGATTTTAATTATAATTATTCTAAAGTGTTATTAATTGTAAATATTTTTATAATTAATATTGTTAGTATTGTTATTAAAACAAGAATGTGGAATATACATTTTATAAATAAATTGTTAGGGTTTTTTCAGGTTTATTAATGATGATTCAAGATTCTTGGTCAGTTAAATTGTTTTATTGCCTTCTACTATAAATGATTTTTATCTTAGGAGAGCCAAAATAATAAATTTTCAAAACAAATAAGCCACATCAGAGAATTCTTATTTAAAGTCTATTTTATACTTCATTGCTTTTATGCTACATATTTCTGATTTAGAGTTTCATACTGAACAGAATTCTTCTCTGACTTTCTAAGATGCAATGACTATTTTATCATCCTGTTCCACTTTACTAAATCTTATGAATAGCACCTTTGTTGATATAAGAAGCTCAACTGCTGTAAGTTATACAGACTACTCCATTTTCTTGCAGCTGGCTGGAGAAAGGCTTGGATTCAATTAAAGGTACAGAATCTCTTACAGAAAAGCAAACTACTTAACCATATATAAGAACCCAAGGTATGTAAAAACACTTTCATAAGCAACATGCTCCTATAGGAATTTGGCATTTTTAAATATAACTATTAGCGCATGAGCCATGTTTTCATACCCTTACAATCTAATCTTACCAGTTTCACAGAGACATCACAACCTGCCCCTTTACCCCAAATCAATCATGCCATTTTAAAGTAAGAATCCAATTATCTTTTTATAAACAAGGCAGTCAATCTGTACATTTTACAATAGCCTTGTGGTACATACCTTTTGTAGAGTTATGTTTTGTTCTGACATTAATGAAAAACACCAATGGCCGAGCCAGTATAGTCTCTCTGTAGTTTTTGTAATCATGATGGCTATTCAACTCTACGTGCCTGTTGAAGAAAATAAAGTGTAAATATTCAGGCATTGATTAAATATAGAATTTAAAAACGCGATTTTGTGCAAACTCATGATAAGTTCTTGAAGGCACTTTAAAAGCAGTACATCACGTGACGTCTCGTGATGTAGTGTGACTTTTTTTGCATTGCTGGAGCTGGGGTGGGCGGGGCCTCCATATGATACAACCGGCCCGCAGGCCAGCAGTTTGACACCCCTAATAGTTTCTTTCAAATCTCACAGTCTGCCCCACCATAGATTTGTATGGCCCATCTGATGTGGGAAAAGGAGTTAATAAATGTGTTAAAATTACAGGAGGAGCAAAAAATGGAAAAGATGATTTATGGAGGATTGCAGGACAACTAGAAACAGCATTTCAGTCACAACTGAGATGACATTAGTCATCACCCCCAAGTCTTCCTTTCTCCAGTAAAAATAACTGGAAAAAGAGGAAATGGTAACGATGCAGACTGACTATCATACAGAATAAAAGGTCTATGCAAAGCTTCAAATTCACTCCAAGAAGTGTTTTGCAACACACTGGGATGCAAATTTAGCACTTACCTGCAATTACTTAAAGCAACTACCTTTTCTTAGGATTGTTGTGACAACTGCATGATCCCAGAAAAAGATGCAGCAGCTTTAAGGACTTGTCTGCACTTTGATGTGCTCCAAAGCATTTTTTTTTTTAAATAAAATCCTTAGCACTGAATATTTCTAGCGGATATAGTAAATCAGCCTAATGGCTTAATGTGAAAAAGGCCCATAGGAAATCACAGCCTCTGCTGTGCTCCAACCAGGGTGGCTTGGAAATGCTGTTTTGGATAATTTATATCTTAATATATCAAAACAGGATGTACAATGATGTCCAAACCTAACTGGAGAATGTAGGCATAAGAGTTTAACACTGAAGATCATTTATAATTTGATTAGTCAAAGACAGGATGCATGCAACTCAGGTTCAGATGAAACTAGCCTCAAAACGAGGGAATACTGCTAACTTACAACTTTATCAGTCCCAGATTGTCTGCCTAATGTCGAAGGATGCTGGGAGCCAAAATTCAGCAATATCTGAAGAGACATAGGTTTTCCATCCTTATACTAAATTTATTAGCAAAAACTATTTCTATGCGTCTCCAATTGTGAGGCAGAGATAAAGGCACGGTAGCAGAAAATTCCAAACAGAGCTGTTAGCGTAATTCTGTATACAGGTAGTCCTCTACTTATAAATGCGTGTTTAATGACTGTTTGAAGTTACAGCAGCTCAGAAAGGATGCTTTATGGTCTGTCATACATTTCTGGCTCTTGTAAAATGTTGTTCTCACCCATGCCCCGCAGTCACGTGACGCAATCTTCTCTGCTGGCTTCCTCAGAAAGTCAATGGGGAAGCCGTCAGGGCAGGTTGCAAACTGCTGCTGCCTGATGATTTCCCCTCCCTTCCACTCCTGGGTGGGGGCAGAAATCCTTTGTCAGGTTGCAGAAATTAAGCTCAGATCTTTGGGATCAAAGCTGAATTTCTGCAACCCATCATAGGAGTTCCGTTCCATGAACAGAGGGGAGGGGAACTCCTGCATTGGGCTGGAGAAATGAAGCTTACATCCTAAGGATCTGAGGTTCATTTCTCTAGCCCAGTGTAGGTGTTCCCTCCATGTATGGAAGGCAGCTGCCTGACCTCCTTTTGGCAGGCAGCTGTTTTGCTTTGTCCACTTAATGACCCTAAAATTGCTTAACTTTCTGAGCATCTACATCAGGGGTTCCCAACCACCTGGTCTGTGGACTGGCACCTGTCTTTGGCATGCCAGAAACTTACACTTAGGCAAGAAAAATCAAAAGTACACATATAGATTGGGTGAAATCAGGCTTAATAGCAATAACTCTGAGAGCTGATCTTGGAGTTTTAGTGGACAATTAATTAAATATGAGCCAATAGTGTGCGCCGGCAGCCAAAAAAGCCAATACAATCCTAAGTTGCATTAATAGAGGGATTTAATCAAGATCACATGAGGTACTAATACCACTCTATAAAGCCTTAGCTAAGACTACACCTCTAATACTGCAATCCGTTCTGGTTTCCACACTATAAAAAAGATGTTGAGACTCTAGAAAAAGTGCAGAGAAGGGCAACAAAGATGATTAGGGGACTGGAGGCTAAAACATATGAAGAATGGTTACAGGAATTGGGCATGGCTAGTCTAGTGAAGAGAAGGACCAGGGGAGACATGATAGCAGTGTTCCAATATTTGAGGGGCTGTCACAGAGAGGAGGGGATCAACCTATTTTCCAAAGCACCTGAAGGCCAGACAAGGAATAACGGATGGAAACTGATCAAGAAGAGATTCAGCCTAGAAATAAGGAGAATTTTTCTGACAGTGAGAACAATCAACCAATGGAACAGTTTGGCTTCAGATGTTGTGGGAGCTTCATCACTGGAAGCTTTCAAGAAGAGACTGGACTGCCATCTGACAGAAATGGTGTAGGCACTCCTGCTTGGGTGGGGTGGGGGTTGGACTAGATGACCTACAAGATCCCTTCCAACTCTGTTATTCTAACTAAATTAATTGCATACGACAATATGCATTCATCTAGCTCCGTGTTTCTCAACCTTGACAATTTTAAGGCATGTGGACTTCAACTCCCAGAATTCCACAGCCAGCAATGCTGTGGAATTCTGGGAGTTGAAGTCCACATGCCTTAAAATTGTCAAGGTTGAGAAACACTGAGCTAGCTTAACTAACATTTTCCCTGTAATGGCTGACAACACTATGGTATATATTTTCCTCTCTCCAGAAACAGTTTAGTTATTGAAAATTTTATTGTTTAGAAATAGAACTAGTTATTTTGTAAGCATATTGCAGTGAAACTGCAATGTTTCATTTTTCTTACCAGGGCTAATGGATTTTATGGAATAAAATACTGCCAGCTGCATCTAAGAAAAGTTGGAAAGGAGCTAGAAGCAATAAGTAAACAGGCATCCATGAGTCAGCTAACCCAGACATACTGGTTGTCCATTGAAAATGATTCATATGTAGTGCATAAAATGAGAGGAACAGTTAAGATGGTACAGCTTTCTAAAAGGAGAAAATAATGGAAAATTGAGATCACCATTTGCAAGCTCCAATTTCTCCAATAAAAAAAAATCCATTAGTGACAAAAGCTGAGATGTTTTTATCATTGTTTTATGTTTATTAATGTCCTTCCTACCATGTTTGCTTTTAAAATAAGAATATGCCTACAGCCATGTCACCTAGTTTGCTCCTCCTACATAAACTGCACCTCTATTTGGTTTATTACTATGGTCAGGCTAACAAGCCAAAAACACTTATTGTACCTTTTCTAACTTCTGGAATACATAAGCCTGTATAACAGCCTACAATGTTAGATTCCAACAAAGTGCTCCCGTAACAGGCCCTTGTTCATAATAACTTCATCTCATGTGTCTCTGCATGCAAGCAAAGGACATGTGTGTGATATCATCACACAAGATTGCATCTTATGTAGTCTTCTTGCATAAGATCATCAAAAAGTAAGTTTTTCTTCAGTCAAAAAACAAATACCAAATTAACTTTAGGGTTTATATTATAACTTTCTTGTCTTTCTCACCTCTAATAGATGAAAATCTTTAACCATTTTGCAATCCAAACTCTTTAAGGCAACATTTCAAACACATTCAGGGCTTTTTCTTCCCATATAGAGTCAACCTATCTTATTCAACTTCCTATCAGAAAATTATATTTCTATGATTTTGTTCAGACAGAGGTTGAATCCCTACCTCATGTTCTATTAAAGTACTAACTCTAGCAGTAGTAAAATTTTTGATTTAACTTATAAAAAATAAGTGGTGTCTTCTTCATAATTTTGATTGTTTGATTTTCACATAATTTTTAACATGTGTCTTTTAAATATTAAACATTGTTTAATGTTTGTTGGTCTTGGATTATTAATAACAGTATTAAATTACATTGCCTTGTGAAGAAACAGTTCTTCCAGCTAACTGATAGGTGTATGCCAAGAATAAGTTGAAGGGTGTCACCCCTTGGTACTGCTGGACGAGAACCAATGACTCATTTGCTTTAGTAAAAAAGGTATTTTTCAAATGCTTCCTCTACAGCATGTTTCCAAAGGCTACATAAGATATGTGCCATAATAATGTACTTTACGGAGATTCCTTAATAAAGCAGAGGAAAAGTCACAACTGTTTACTTATCTTTGAAAGGCCAAGTTTTTATATTGTAAGCTTTATCAGACAACAAAGAAAACAAAAGTATGCAAGAATAACCTGTTACACAATTCTGTCAAACACATCAGGATCAATTAACAAAGAAGCCATAGGCTACTTGTTTTACATATAAACCCCTAGGCAGAAATTTTTAGAATGTCTTAAAGGAAGCTATGCAATAATAAAGCCTCATTGCTGTAGTGACTACACACTCGTAACTGGTGGGAGGGGAGTTTATTAATAAAAGCATAGTTTAATTAGTACAGTTCATTTCGTACAAACAAATAGAATCCACAACAGTTCCATTAAAATCTAACCAACTTTGGAGAACCACATTGAGCAAATATTAACCAACAATCTGGTGGTATATAGCAGCATCTCTGGTAACTTCTGGTATTGTATTTTTTTCCTCAGTGGCTGAAATTCCTATCTATCCACTCATCCAATGTCTGTCCCATTCAATCCACCACCTTTTATGTCTTTTGTGGGTAGCCATATCTCTATGCTGCACTATCTAGATTCTAGATGAGACAAGACCTTTCTATCAAGGTCTCCTCCTGTTCAGTTAGGTCTACTCTCTGATTTCTCCCTTCAAAGCAGGCCCTGGAGCAATCATTCTACTAAGTCAGGAGCTGTGAATGAGTGGTATGCATAGCACAGATAAGACTAAGAACTAGTCCAGGTAGGACTAGTAGTCCTTAAGCACACACTCATAAATGTCCTTCTTCCGAAAATTAATCTTTTTGTTTCTATCTCAGTGGCAGTCTTGATTGATCAAATTGGAAACACAAGTAGAGTATTACTGTATTGTAATAGGAGATTATTGCTATATTAAGAACTGATATTCAACATTTCCTCTATCTATTCTACTGGCTCTTTTGCTAAGGTACCAGGTCTCTTAAACAGCAATCACATGGTGAAAAGCCTGATAGAAATCATGATAAATACCGGTCAGTACTCTGTCAGAGAAGGCTGGCTGAAGGTCCCTCAGAATGCTCCAATTTACCTCTTTTTTAAATAAACTGCAGAATGTGGGGTGTCCTACATTTAATGAGGATCAACTGGCAAGGTTACCCAGCAATCCTATGCACAATGTTTATTAATCAGGAAATGGCTATTGCTTTTTGCAATATTGTATATTTATCTGGTCTCTCACTAGATCTTGTTCATCTATTCAATCTGGCTCCTAGTTTAGGACTATGGTTAGGGGATGTTCTTCCGCCATTAAACTTAATGCAGTTATTTGTGAGAAAGAAAAGACTACATCAGTTTCTCTCCTCCATGCCTATTTTTCCTATAAAATCCCTCTCCATCTTTCCAAGTCAAACAACAGTAACATACTCACCCACCCTAGCATTGCATAGCCTGCAAATGATACCAAAATATCAATTCAGCTTTTAGATCATGTGAAGGACTCAGGTTGGAATTAGGGAAGTTTGGGTGCAAACAATGATTAGTGGTTGGCTGGGATATAGGCCCACAAATAGGGAGCCGTTTTATGAACCTTTTAGTTTTAATACCATTTGCTAAACAGCCGGCAGGCAGCAATATAGCAAGTAATTTTTCTTTTTCAAAACGGAAAGATTTGTTAAGTGCCAGACCCACTTTTCTCGCGACCTGTAGGATGCGATTCCTGTCCCCTCCTTCCCCTGCATCAAGACAAGCGCGGGGAAGGAAAATTAGAAAAGCGGCTGTTTACCTCTTGAAATAGCCGGTGAGCCTGCACTGCTGTTGGCCATCCAGCTGGAGAAACCCGTCGCTTATCACCGTGAAGCCGCCCCCGGCCCGCCGGTCGAGCGGACTCAGCACCGCCAGAATATCCCCTTGCAGTAGGAAGGAGTCTGGTTGTAGGGAGAGCAGCTGCCGTAGCGGTAACACCGCCATCTCGCAGTTGCACGTCCGAAGGCTCTGTAGCTCTCCCGAAGAGACAGAGGTCAAGCTGGGCCTGACCAAGGTTGCCGGGACGGAACCGGATCCGCTCCAGACAGCCATGGCAATTCCGCGCAGAGAGTAGCAAAGAGAGAGAGATGCGGGAAGAGAACAGAGGTGGTGCGCCAGGATCGCAGGCGCTGCTAGAAATTGGCTGCCGGCCTCGGGGAAGAAATAAAAAAACACTATTAGAGCTCCGCCTCTGAACCGCCGGGGAGTAAGGGCGGAGGAGCAAACGGCTTTGACTGCTCGCCCTCAATTTGTCACCCTGCGCAGCCTCGCGGAAAACGCAGCTGCGGGGCAGAAAAGTCTGCCGGACTGGTGAGGGCGGGATGGCGACGGCGCTGACCTTCAAACGTAGCCTTCGAAGGCCTGGCTTATTCCACCTCACGATTGCCCCTACCTCTCGCACCCTTGGTGGGGTGGTTTTATAGCTTTACTGCGCGTTTAAGTATATTCGCGAAGGAGACTGGTTCGTTCACACGTGCAAACTTCCCTCCCGTCCCTTTCCTTTCACTAACTCGAGGAGGCTGTTTAAGGATGATAGCCTAAGGGAGAAGAACTTGAGAACAAGGGTATTTTAGGCAAAAAGGGGAAACTGGCTCATGCTCAAATCTAATCACGTGTTAAACGGTTACAAGGAAAGCTTTCATGCTCTATGAAGTTGCGCTAAAGAATTATAAACCCACTTTGTAGATCCGGTTCTCTCCTCTTCTTAAGCACGCATTTGGCAACCACCTGAAAGGGTTTTTTTGTATTTAAGGGAATCAGTCTGGAATTTCCCTTAAGGTAGAGAAATCCTGCATACCTGTATTTTTATGTACCAAGGATCCTATTACGCGATTGTGGAATATGTAGCTGAGGGCAGTTACCGATTGTTTTTTTAAAAAAATAACTTTTCTTATGCAGTCAATTAAAGGGGGCGGCACTGTTAACGGTAACCCATCATTATCCTCCAGTGCCTGCTGGCAGTATTGAGCAATGAAAATCAAACCTTGTGCTGGCAAACGTGATTATTACAGGAAGGTAAACAGAATTTTTGGAGAGAACATGAAAATTATTTGTTGGTGGTGATTCGTTGGAGAAAAGCCCTGCTTGGCTGTCCTCTTTGAGGGAGATTTCAGAAATGTGAAAAAGAAATAAAAAATTGATGAGTCTCAATTTGATTTCTGGTAGGGCCAGGTCTACTGTGTTGCTCTTGGTTGCACACTATTTTCTGTACCCCTAGTCAACCATTACATGGAATTGCAGGCATGCTGTGTAAACATACTTTATTTAAAAACTTGGGTTTACATTTACTGAATAGATGGTTTTCCTGGTACGTGGCTTTTTTATTTGCAATGCACACCCAGTTTAATAAGAAAACAACCCTTTCTTCGCATAACATTGGTTACTGTACTGTCTGATGGAATTATTTCCTTTTTGGTTTTGTGCTTCTTTTAAGCTCACTGGAATTTTTTTTACCCATTAGCAGCTGGGTTCTATAATCAGGCATTATTTGACCCATGAGAATAATTTTGCTCAGATTGGTTGATGCTGTTCCAAAAGTCAGGCACAAACTCCACCCATGAAATGATGGATGTGCATGATGAACTTTAACAAGTAGCCTGCAAACCAAAAAGACTGGGCAACATCATGCAACGGATAACCAAATTTCCATCCTTGTGGCCCCTTCTGGCAACCTGCTGAATGCAGAGAGAAAGTGAGAAAATGGAGTGTCAGAAAGAAAAGATGATGGAAAAGGATAAATCTGTCTGTGGAGTCCTTCCATTTCCCCTCCCCCCTTATCATTCAGAACTGATGAAACTTCTTGGATGAGAAGTGAAATAATTTCCTTTTTTTCCTCAAAGAAAAGAACAGTCCAGTTGCCTTTTGAAGAAAAAAAGCACCTTTGAGATAAATCAGCAACTTGACTTCCATCCTCTGCCAGTACCAGGGTCCAGCGTGCTCCAGGGGCAAAAAGAAGCAAGGCCTCTTTAAGGAAAAGGTGGAAGAGAAAGGATCAGAAAAAGAAAAGGAGGCAAGGTTGTTGTGCAGGAATACCAGCTAATTTGAGGCCTAATCCACATGGAGCTCCATTTCCATCTGTCCTGTTTGCCATGGTTTGCTTCCTAGAGACTAAAATGGACGATCTGAAACTTGAGCTGGCCACGAACAAGAAGTGTATATTGGAGGTGGTGACCCTTTGAGAGCTGCATGCAACGAAATTTCATTTTGATGTGTGCCCATTGGTGTACATTTAAAGTGACAATAATGTTGTTATTATTATTATTATTATATTATTATTATTCTGATATTCCTGATAGTAGATGATTAAGAGAAATAAGTGTTCCTTGCCCTCCCTTCCCCCCATAAACAAGTTGTTGGTATGTTTTACAGATCTACATCTGAATAAGACAAACTGTCACAAGCTTCAGTCTTGTGCCTACTTAGTTGGCATCAAGGAAAAACTTGGTATTTAAAGTGAAGTGCTTTAAACTATGCTGAACTTATTCTTCATTGAGGATTATTAATACAGTACATTCAGAGGCTACATACCACACTATGCTCAACACTACAGGTAATCCTCGACTTACAACCATTCATTTAGTGACTGAAGTTGCAACAGCACTGAAAAAAGTGACTTATGATTAGTTTTCACACATACACATTTATTACAGCATCACAGTCAAATGATCAAAATTTGGATGCTTGGTAACTGACAGGTATTCATGACTGTTGCAGTAAGTCAATGAGAAAACCTTATTCACTTAACTGTGTAACTAATTTAACAACTGTACTGATACACTTAACTTTGGCAAGAAATGTAAAATGAGGTCAATAAGTGTCTTGCTTAGCAATGGAAATTTTGGATTCAGTTATGGTCATAAATAGAGGACCATTTGTACAAGTGCTTTTGATGCTGAGATTTGATTGTGAAATGGAAGTTATAAAGCAGCATCAGCTTACACAAGTTCTTAGGAAAGAGTATTGTCATGGTATCCAGGGAATGTTAAATGGAAACCGATGAGTTAGTTGGGAGAATAAAATCCCAGTGTACCCAG